GCCTGAATTCTGGCCAGTTGTCTTTGAAGTCTACTCCTGCTTTGATTGTTGAACAGCCAAATTCTACTCTTTAGGAGAAAAGGATTAGTTGGGGTTTCATGTTGGTTTATTGTCTAAACCACTTCAGACTAACTAAAATAACATTTTGGTTTTATATTTGTGTAGTGCTTTCTAACATCATGTTTGAAGTATCTTTTTCTTGCTTTATACAACAAAAAATAGGTTTGAGCCACCGGTCAAAGGTTTAGTTGAAAAAGTAAATTTTTGAGGAGTATCGTAGAAGGACAAGTGAGATGAAGTTTAGGAAGTGATTTTTGAGCTGAGGGTATGACCTTCAATGATGGAGATATTCTCTCCAATCTGCATTTTCAACACTGGGGAAGTGCAGATATTTTGGAGGGTTATGGAGCTGGTAAAAATATTAAAACAGAAGAAGACAATGTGGGCGAAAATGGAGGGAGTTGAAAACAAACAAGGATGTGAATTTTGGATCTGGGCTGCTTGGGAGCCATTGTAAATTGATAAGCAGAGAGGACGGACAACTGGGGACGCCACGTGGGCTAGGACACCACCAGCAGAGCTTTGAATGATATCAAGATTGTGGAGAGTAGAATGAGACACTGGCTAGGAGTGTACTTGATAGTCTGACGTAGAGGTGGCTAAAGCGTTGAGGGTTTTGACAATAGATGAGCCGAAGTAGAAGTAGAATCAGGTAATGCTATGGTGCAAACAGGAAACTTAGGCTTGCAACTAGGTATTTGCATTATTGCTATTTCAGGGATAAACACAGATTTAACAGCAAGCAGACAAAGTTCAAGTGCTACCAACTTACAACCGGTAAAGATGCAATGTCAGAAATTGCTAGAACAACTCAGCAGGTCTGGTAGCACCTGTGGGGAGAGTGTTAACCAATCCATTCCAGTGATGACACTTCAGAATGCTGGACCCAAAATGTTAATTCAGCTTTCTCTCCATAGATGCTGCCAGACCTGCCTATTTTTTCCAGCAACTTCTGTTTTTTCTGACTTCCAGCATCTGCAGTTTTTTCTCAATGCGATGTGTTTAATTCATGCCAGAATTTCAAACTTGGCAGGAGAGTTTTGCACTGAATATTAGTTTCTTGTTGAGTAATTGTCTATCTTGCATGAGTATAATGTGCTCCATCTAATGAGTTTCCTGTTAAAATAAGGACATTGTCATACAGCACAGAAACAGACCCTTCGGTCCAACCAAACCATGCCGAACATAATCTCAAACTAGTCCTACCTGCCTGCTCCTAGCCCATATTCCTCCAAACCTTTCCTATCCATGTATCTATCCAAGTGTCTTTTAAACGTAATTGTGTACCACTTTCTCAGGAAGTTCATTCCACATGTGAACCACCAACTTTTTTTTTCTTTTTTTAAAAAACGCCATTTTTTTTAAATGTCTCTCTCATCATCTTTAAAACTGTGCCCCCTAGTCTTCAAATCCCCCATCCTAGGGAAAAAACAATTATCATTAACTCTATCTATACCCCTCATTATTTTATAAATTTCTCAGGTCACATGCCAACCTCCTAGGCTCCATTTAGGGAAAGGGGTTGGGGCGGGGAAGTCCCAGCCTTTCCTTATAACTCAACTTTCCCTACTCGGCAACATTTTGGCAAACTTCTTCTGAACCCTCTCCAGCTTGATAATTTCCTTCCTATAACTGACTAGAACTGAATAGTATTCCAGAAGAGGCCTCACTGATGTCCTTCACAACCTCAATATGACCTTCCAACTCCTATATGCAAAGGACTGAGCAATGAAGGCAAGCATGCCAAACATTTTTAACCACCCAACTTAAAGAATTATACCTGCACCCCTAGATCCTTCTGTTCTACAACACTACCCAAGGCCCTATCATTAATTGTATAAGTCCTATCCTTGTTTGTTTGTACCAAAATGCAATACCTTGCACTTATCCAGATTGAACTCCATCTGCCATTTTTCAGCGCATTGAACCATTTGATCAGGATCCCTTTATAATCTTAGAAAACCGTCTTCACTGTCTAATGTCACCAACTTTGTCATCCGCAAGCTTACTAACTTTATTCCTTCTATGTTCTCCAAATCGTTTATATAAAAATGACAGACAAACGAGGACCCAAAACTGGTCCCTGTGGAACACTGCTGGTCACAGGCCTCCAATCTGAAAACCAACACCCCCTAACATTACTCTGTCTCCTGCCATTAAGCCAATTATGTATCCAATCGGCAAGCTCACCCTGAATACCATGTGACCTAACTTTACTAATTAGGCTACCACAGAACCTTGTCGAAGGCTTTACTGAAATCCAAATAAACAACGTCGACTGCTCTGCCATCATCAATCTTTTTGGTGATTTCCTCAAAAGAAAACTCAATCAAGTTTGTGAGACATGATTTTCCTTGCACAAAACCATGCTGACTACCCCTAATCAATTTTTGCCTCTCTAAATGTCTATAAATCCTATCTTTTACAATCACCCCCTCCAACAATTTATCCACAACTGAAGTCACTCTGGTCTATCGTTCCCCAGTTTCCCTTACAACCTTTCTTAAAGGTACAACGTTAGCCACCCTCCAGTAATCAAGCACCTCACCTGCAGTTATAGATGATGCCAACATTTCTGCAAGGAGTCTCGTAACTTCCTGTCTTGTATACCAGAACGTTCTGGGATACATTAGATTAGGTCCCAGATTTATTCACTTTCTTATATTCTGTAAGACCTCCTGAACGTTCTCTTCTGTAATGTGAACTGTTTGTTTATTTTGAAACAGTTTATTTCTCTGCATTCTCTAGACTCTTTCTTTCTCCACAGTAAAAACTGACATGAAATATTCATTTAATATCTCTCCCATCTCCTCCTGGGGTTCAACACAAAGATGACCTTGCTCTTTTTAAGAGGCCCTACCCTCTCTCTAGTTACCCTCTTGTTCTTAATGTATTTGTAGCATCTCTTTGGATTATTCTCAACCTTATCTGACATCACTATCTCATGCCCTCTTTGCTTTCCTGATTTCTTTCTCCAGAATGCCCCTATACTAATTAATTTAAGAAATTCAATTGAATCAAGTTGTCTATATCTAAAAATAAAATTCTTTCTTTTTATTCTTGACTAGAACCTCTATCTTTATTGATCCATTGTTCCTTAGTCTTACCAGCCTCACCTTTCACTCTAACAGGAACAAAATGCCTCTGATGCAGCCACTGTTTCTATTGGGCAGTTCAATTGCATATTTTGGTGTCTCTTAGTCTTCTAGCTCAGTGATTTAGAATATAGTGTGGAGTTTTATCCATGTTGCTGCTTTCTCTACACTTACACTGGCTAGTTTCAAAAATTGGCTGTAAAGAACATTAACACATCTGGAGACTTTGTTTTTCTCCTTTTTTTTTAAGAAATGCAAATGCAGACATTTTATTTTTCTTTCACTCCTCCACCCATACATGTTTGTGTGTGCACACTCACTTAAAACAAAGCACACCTAGCCAAAGCCATAGTGCATGTCTTTTACTACATGTCCCCAGCATATGAAATGCAGACGAATATGCAACTCTTGGCTTGTTTCGCCAACGTGTTCCTTTAAAAGTGTAGGACAGATTTTAAAATATTTATCTCTATCTACAATAGTAATCATTTCTTCAAAAGTAGCTCTCAATACTTGCAATTTGTCTTGAGGCAACAAGAATGCAACATCCAAACTGGTTGACAGCATAAAAATAGTAGCTTTGGCTAGCTAGTGAGAAGGGGAATGGGCAAATGGATTTAGGTGTAGGTTTATTTTGTAAGGTTGTTAGTATACAGACTAAAATGCATTAGCTGTATTCTTATTTCTTAAGTTGTGTTCCCATGACTTGGATCTGATGTTTCTCTCCATTGCTATTCTCTAACTGTAAAATTAAGTTTACAATTGAAAGCATCATCAAAGTACCGTCTTTATTGTCCAACTGGTGTTGACTTGACTTGAAGGTGGTAATGGAGTCCTTGAATTGATACAAGTCACATGCTGACTCTACCACAATGGTACATTGTGAAATTCCAGGACATTGATCCAAAAACCATAAAGAAATGGTGACACATGATCCAATCAGGATGGTGCGTGACTTGTATGTACTTTGTTGACATCAATGTCACCAGCAATCTTGTCTAATGTGAAAGTTACACAAGACCTTTTTTTAATTGCTTACATTGTCTTTTGTTTCTCCTGTGTGGACTGTTGATAAACAGATCTGCTCTGCAGTTTTTAGCCAGCAGAAAATAATTGTTCACCAGGTTCTCAGTGACGCTGAGCTGTGCAGAAGAAATAGCTCTTCTTTGAAGGTTGTTGAACAAGTGTTTTGGAATGAGGCCATCACTCACTAATGAGTGTATCCATCCAGGAAATTCTTGTCATTGATCATGGGTTCTCTGGATCCTTACATGACTTGAGCCCAATTGAAAATTGACGTAACTTGTAATTATTGGAGCACAAGGCAGCAAAATGGTAAAACACAATTGGCATTGGATTGTCACTATATAACACGAAAAGCATTGAAGAAAACGTTAGTGGTGAGCACCATTATTCTTTAAACTCTTCTTCCTCCCCGAAAGGAAGCATTTAAAAATATAATTAGCCACTAGTCTATCAGATATGTTTTCTCCAACCCAGATGCATCCCCCTTTTGAAGTTGAAACTGGGTATTGGTTCTTTCTGATCTATGTGCACCCTGTTTTTCCCATATTAGAAATAAACCCAAGCATTTTCAGAAGCAGAGTTCAAGCTGTTCATTTCTGTCCTCCAAGCGATAACTGAAGCCGAGCAAAAATTAGTTATCAGTTCAGTTCTGTACCCATCTCTGCAGAGAGCTGAACGTGGTATAGATTTTCAGCGTGTTCCTACACTTTTTTTTTAGTAAAACCTACGTTTAACATTCAAGTTTTCAGCTAAACTGCAGTTTTTTTTTTAAGATTAGCCAAAGGACTATCTAACCACCCCTCTCTTTTATTTTAACAGGAAGCATCAGTGTCCTTCTATCCTTCCCCTTTATTTTTAACCCTCCAGTGGGCGGCAGTGAAAACATTCCACAGTGGGCTGAGCTCATTTACTTCGTTCCGTTTATTGTCGTATTCCAGTTTGGGTGGGCTGCGACACAGATCTCCCACCTCTCCTTGATACCAGAGCTTACTCTGAACAACCATGAGAGGGTTGAGCTCACTGCTTTTAGGTAAAACAAACACTTCTTTTTTTTTCTTGCGGTGTCTGTTTTTAACCACAATCTACATCGTCGGTAGATTTCCCACCTGAACAAAAGTTTTAAAATTTTGACTTTTGCTGTCAGTTTAAATTGCCGGTCACCAACGTTAGTTAAAACCAAGTTAACTGTTCTGATTTACCAGACAATAGCTGTGGAAGTGAGACCGCACATTCAGGCTGCTCTTTGCTTTTGTAATTGAGGAATTAACAAGAATCCAAGCAGTGAGGCCTAGATGTCACTGGGAAATATTCCATAGTTATCTTGGGAATAAAGGGAAGGATACTGATCAATCATTAGCTTTACCATAATGGCTGAGAGGATGCTTGAGAATGATATTAGAGTTGTCAGGGGAGTATTCTGAATAAGATTTTGAACAGTTAACCAGTGTACTAGGGGTATTTTCTAAATATAAGCTATTAATTTAGAAACATGAAAATAACTATACAAATGAAAATGAAGTTCCCTAGACCCTCTGTCACAGGGGTACTACTTTGATGTGAAATTGGGGTGGACAGCAGAGAAAAAGACCATTCTGCTTGTCTGGTCCACGCTGGTGTTTATATAGTGCACAGTTGCCCTCTGTTCATTTCAGTCCTGTCTGTGTTTTGATATTTGACATCCCCCATGTCTTTATTCCCTTAAAAAGAAAATCCTATTTGAGGTTACTTGCATCAGGAAGTCTGAAATAATCTGGTATCCATTATGCATACTTTACAAAAAGGAGACTTTTTTTAAATTTGACTACCAATATTAACTATTTTAGCATGAAACCCACTTGGAAGCAGTACTGCTTTCTCTGGGCTGGAATAACATCCACAAGAAACTTGCCCAGCAGCATACACCAGGAGCCACCCCGTAGTTCAGGTTGACTGATGCAGGGATCAGGAGTATGCTCAGTGAATATATTTGCAGGAGGACAAGTTTGAATCTTTACTCCTATAGAATTCTAACCTGTAGAAACCAATATTATTTGTATCCACAGGAATGCTTTTACTGTTGTAGCCAATATAGCAGTTTTTGGGATTGCGTGGTTGCTGTTTCACTTTCAAGCTGCACATTCGGATCCCGATGTTGATAACAGTTTGGGCAAACAGGATATTCCCTTATTCAGGGTAAGCAACAGCTAAACTGTCCTCTTTTCTGAATGGCTGACTTCTTGACCAACTACCATCTCTACCATAGACACCCCACCTTTCTCTTCTCCAGCTTGTGTGGGGTCTGAACCAGAGAGGACAGCCTTAGAATGAAGGACCAGCCAGTTAAGACTGAGATGAGGCAAGTTTGTTTTTAAACTGGAGCAGATGAAATTTTGGGACTTTCTACCCCAGGGGTCTGTGAAAGAAGTCGTCAGTGTATATTCAAGAAATCAGTAGATACTAAACACATCAAGGGGTGTGGGGATAATATGGGGATGTGTTGTAATCGATGATTAGCCATGATCTAGATTTCTGAAGGAGGCTGAAGGGCCTATTCCTGTTCCTTCTCCAAACTGCCTCCAGTGAGGCAAAGGTTCACTAGGATGATCCCTGGTATGGAGGGACTGTCTTTTATGAGCAAAGACTAAACAGGTTGGGATTTTACTCACTGGAGTTTTAGAATGAGGTAACCTCATTGAAACATGGGATTCTTAAGTGGCTTTACAGGGTAAATGCTGAGAGGATGTATCCCCCACGTGGAAATGTGTAGGACCAGAAGGCATAATCTCAGAATAAAGGGGTGCCAATTTGAGATTGAGTTGTGGGGGAATTTCATCTGAGGCTCCAGTCTTTGGCGCGCCTTGCCACAGAGCTGTTGGGGCAGAGTCCTTGTGTAAATTTGAATGCTGCGGTAGAATTTTGATCGATAGGGGAATTGTGTTAGGAGGAAAGGGCAGGGAAGTGGGCGTGAGGAATGTCAGATCAGCCATGGACCTATTGAATGGTGGAGCAGGCTTGAGGCTTAAATGGCCCTTGTGATTCTTATGTAACAGAATGGGAATCTGAAAACATTGACAGATAAAGGAGAAAGTCACACACTTCCAGCAACTGTTTTGACTAAGTAGAAAGCAGTAATATCAGAACTAATGGGCAAGCTTTTGTGTCTGGGTTTGATCTGTGAATAATGGTCTTTTCTAATTTAGCAACAGACACTGGATAAGATGGTCTTTAGTCTATGCTAAATTACTCAACCACTTGAATTAGGAATTATCCTAGTGAACATTTTGTTCAAATTGCTTCTGATATTGTTATAAATTGCTTTGCTTTGCCTCTTTCAGTTCTTTAATGGGGGTATATTTAACTTTTTTTTATTATTTTTATTTTAATTTGCTTATTTGAGGCTCACCATCAAAATCCAAGCTAGTTCAGTTTAGTTTTTTCATTCCTGTTTGTTTTTTCTCTTTAAAAGTCACCAGCAATTTCCTTCTTTTTCTTTTTTTTCTGAATAATTCTAACCTTCCAGTTTTAGTCTGTTTCTCTCCCCGTATGCTCTTCTCTTCTCCCTCTTCCCTCCTCCCCTATCCCATCCTCGCTCTTCTCTTCCCCATCTCCCCTCACCCCCACCCCTGACTTTCTGTCCCTTTTTTTTTTTTTTTTTTTTTTTCCCCAATGCCATCCCCCATTGCTCTTCTCTCCTGCTTTTCAATCCCCCCACCTTCCTGGGTCGTCTTCCCAAACCCCACCCTAGAGTCTGCTTGCTTCAGTTTTGCTATAGCTCCCTGATGCTGCACTCTGCCCCTTTTGACCTGATGATACATATGACAGTCACTTTCCACTCTTTTGATGTTCCTCAGGCTGACAAATGAGGTGAAGTATTTTAGTGCTAATCTGTCAGAACAAACCTTTATCGAATAAAAACCAAAAGAACTGTGGATGCTGTAAATCAGGAACAAAAGCAGAAGTTGCTGGAAAAGCTCAGCAGGTCTGGCAGCATCTGTGAAGAAAAAACCCAGTTAACTTTTCGGGTCCTGTTCTGAGGAAGGGTCACCGAACCCAAAACATTGATTATTTTCTTTTTCTTCACGGATGCTGCCAGACCTGCTGAGCTTTTCCAATAACTTCTGTTTTTAAACCTCTTATTGGAGATTTTGTTGGTGCTTGTGGTATGAGGCCAACACTGATTTGAAAATGTACCCTACTCCTGCCATAAGATCATCTTAATGGACTGTTGCAGACTTGCTACTGTCTGATAACACACGAGACAGTTGTCTCTCTCTGCATCACCAGCATACTCGATTTTAAACTTCAGAAGAATTGTTGCATCAGTGTGGTATTTTCTACTCCACAACAGTTGCCCTGTGGCTTTTCTGTGACTACCAATTAGTTCGGTACTGGGGAATTTTTGCACAGCCAAGTCAACTGACTAGGAACCACACTGAGACCACCAAACTCCCTTAACACGCAAGCCACAAATAAGAACTTTAATCTCAGCTAGGTCTTATGTAGTGGTAGTGTCCCCCACCTTTCTTCTAGAAGGTCTGGACTAGAATCCCACCTGCCTTGGATTTAAAAATAATTACAAACCTTTTGCTCAACATAAAAGTCAGGCCTTTGCTTGGCTGTGTCCTCTACCTTCATATCTCAACAGGGAAGTGAATTCTTTGGTTGCTGTTACTTTTCCTATTTAAAAAGGAACTGTAGTTCATGGTAGTCTGTGATTCAGAATGGATTAGTCCCCCTTAGACTGCAATTGAGGAAGTTTGCCTTTTGGTGTTCTTAAAATGTTTTCCTCATGATTTAATTGTCATTTCGGAAGCTGTTCTTGCGTGCATAATTTCTTTTAAAATCCTGTTGAGTTGTAAAATTGACGTCCACCTTTCTCCTCCTACACTATGTTGTAGTGGTGAGTGCTGTGGAAATGTTTGGAGAGGAATCCAGTGCTGTGAAGGGAGCTTCACTATTTCTCCATTTTTAAATGGAGATAGTGCAGTTTTGGACCAAACTGATCAAGGAGATGGATATCCATTGATTTTAATTTTGAATTTGTAAATACTGATTGGATACAACTATCACAACCACGTTTTATTTTCATCCTTCTGTCTTTTTTTAATGGATTTTGGTTTTTGTTTCATTGTGAACTTTGAGGGCCGGAAGGTCATGTTGGTAGAGGGATTCTTTACTGATGGCTACTCAAACCTCTTGTTTGCAGACATTGGCTCTGATTGTTATTGGCATTGGGTTTGTATCTTCTTTGGTGTTTCATATTGGAACACGTGAGGAGGTGAAAAATGAAGAGGAACGTGCTGTCACTGAACAGACGCCACTCATCGATGGTTCCAAGAAGAGCCATGGCCAGCCATTGCTGCAGTGGAAACATTGGTTGAAGGAAGCATCTTTCTATCATGTAAGTGATGTGCTATCGCAGACACTATCCCATGAAGTAAGGAAAAATTAGAAGGTTGGTCAGTAGGCACAAAATTATGATGACTACATGCTCCCTTCAATAAGGGAGTGTTGAAAGTACAGATTGTAATTGCTAGAATTAAAATAAAACTGCATTTTATTTGGTGCCAGGGGATGGCATTCTCTTACTTTAGGCAAAGGGTCTACAGGCCAAAAACTGGCTGTTCAACCTAACCGATGTGCAGCATTGTTTAGGCACTGCACTGTTGTAGAAGGATGTAAGGATCTGAAAGGATTAATGCTTAATGCATTGCTCAACATTGCCCTTGCATGATTGTCACATGGACTTGTGAACGAACAACTTTAGATCTTGAAGTGAGACCTGATGTGGTTTCAGCAACTATATTTTGCCAGCATAACTCCTCTTACCTAGCTGCTATTAAACAATAAACTACATCCACTTTAAGATAAGTGCCTCTTCTCATTGGACTATGGGAGAGAGTTTTCCTCTACCCCATTAGACCAACCAGGCCCTATAGATCTCTCACCAGTAAGGAGGATGTAGTAACCAATCAGACCTTAAATTATGTTGAGCTATGGTGAGATTCATCTTAGAACGTGCAGGAGCCTTTTCCCATTTTGGTTACCCTCTCCACTGTTCCAAAAGCTCCTTCTGTTTTTTTCCCCTCATTTATGCATCATGTAACCTCTTAGTGTTGTGACAGCAATTTTTCCCCATTCTTCCCATCGATTGCAATTTTATTTAGAGATAATTTGCATCTTGCTCTTCAAATATTTAATCGATGAGGAAAGGGATGTGATCTCTTTTAGTGCTACAAGTGCCATTGGTCCTGTCTTCTGTTAATTGTGCATGATGGTTATGGAGTTCTGGTTCAGTAGCTCCGCAGGAACTTTGAGAAAATACATTTGTGGTATAATGCAAAGCTGTGTCAAAGGATGTGATCATTTTGGATGTTGGCGATTTTGACACCATCAAAAGCATAAATTGATTTTAGAGGGGATTTTAGGATTAAATTTCAAAAACTAATCTAGAAAAAATGATTTTGTAATAGCCATTTAAGTTGACTGGGCAAAATAATTCCCATCCATATTAAAATGTTGTGAACAATAGGCACTTGAATTTATAAAACTTGTTGAGCAGCAGTGGAGTATGTTTTAGAAACTGTACAGAGGATGTCAAATTTTCCTTCAATGTCCAACTCCCAACAATGCAGAAAGGGCATATTTCCTCTGATTCATTGAGTTCCTGATCAAAGCATCTCCCTTTTGAGCTTTTCCTACTAGAAAGCGCAGAGATCAGGACGATTAAGTGGCGAGCTGCATTGACTTACTGCATTCTGCAGAAGATCCTGCTGTTTCTCCTGAAAAAGGAGAAAACTAAAGGGATTCGGCTTTTATTTTTCTGATGGTTTCTCCATAATGGTGTCTCCAAAATATTACTGTACGTGACCTCCCTTCAGGCACCTTAACACTTTATATAGAACAAGGCAAAGTCTTTAAATTTTGTCATAGGATGGTCAATAGGATGTTAGTGGGGGATTCAGTGATGGTAACACTATTGAATGTCAAGGGACAATAGTAGCGGTATTCTCTTGGAAATTGCTGCCTGCTACTTGTGCCATCCACCTGTTATTGGCTGCTTATCAGCCCAAGTATGGATGCTGTCCCCATTTTGTGGTGTTTGATTCTGGTCTGTTTCGCTATTTTGAGGAGTCGTGAATGGTGATGTTCACTGACAATTGCACAAGATTATCCCTACTCCTGATCACCTGATGGAGAGAAGGTCATTGTAGTTGAAGATGGTTTGGTCCTGAGGAACCCTAACTAAAATTTTAACGAGTGGCATTAATCCAAACTGAAGCATCTTGTGTAAACAATGTTTTGAGGCAGCATTGATATTCCTCCAAGACCGTGATGTTCAGCTAATCACCCAACAGTTGGATCATGCCAGCTCTGTATCTGTCCCCCAGTTACTGAACTTTGCTCCATATACTTTAATATCCTATTGCAATATTAGATTTGTATCTCAACAGTGCGCAGACATCTCCATCTTAAGATTATGCATTGTATTTGTAGTGGCAGGATGAAACTTTGGAGCTGACTAGTCATTAAACACCTGCCATTTTTCAGTCCAGTTTTGGAATGGATCTGTGTTGCGAAGGGAAGAAGTATAAATGGCAGAAATTCAGCCAAGTTTAACTTGCCTGTAATCCTGTTGAATTTGAACATTTTGTCATAGATGCCTTTTAGCACAGTACAGGTCGTTCAATTTGATGCCAGTCCTTGAACCAGTATCTTTGGATACCACTGGAATTGGTCATTGCTTCTTTCAAAACTCCAATGAAACCTAAAACATTAAAATTGAAGGCAGGCATGTCAATTCAGTGAGTAAAAATGGGCCCTTACATGCACTCATCATGGGTTCAATCGTTTTAAATCCTTGCTTATCATTTAGTAATTATTGACTTTATTATATGAGCAGAACCCTCAGTTGAAATCAAAGATCACTGAGGGCCCTATTAGGATTGTCCTAACAAGTTGTGTACTTTGTTAAACATGGAGAAATTGGCTCTGGCATTACAGATTATACCAGAATTAGTCCAGCCTTCTTTAAGTGAACACACGATGTATGCTCAGACTCGTGTAGTTCTTTTCATTTTTGTAGATCCCTGTAAATGGTGAAAGGATTTGTTGCTCTTGGCTGTACTGTTTATTACCCCTTTCGATCCCCTCTCTCTCTCTTTCCCACTGTATTTCAATTGCTGTAAGTTGTTTCTTCTGAAATGTATTTGGTCTCGTGTTCTTCCCTTTTTTACACTCCAATGCATCAGAATTGTCATTTTGTATCCAAAAAAAACTGAAATCTCAAATCTGGCAGTATCTGTGCAGAGATAAACAGTTAATATTGAGTCCAATAACTCTTGTTACGAAGCTGGGTAGAATAATCATGAAGTAAAAAGCAAAGTGTGGTCCTTTTTCAGAGGTAATGTGTTTTTAAGCTTACAGTTAAATAGAAGAGGTCTGTGAGCAGATGGGGAATAGTACAGACAGTTCTAAAATGCAAACATGTAACAAGTGGCTTTGTTAATTCGTACATTAGGCTTGTTTTGACTAGTTTGAATTGGCCAATTAATTTAAGCCAAATACCTAGATACAGAAAGCCAATTGAGTTGGTATTGACAACCTGAAACCAGTCGTCATAATAAGTATTTGTCACTACACGTACATAAGATGAGGACATTTGGAAAATCAGAGCCCTCCGGCACATCCAGCTATCGGCCCAAATAATTAAAGGTACCACGGTATTTTAGCTCAGTCCTCATTGAATAAATTAGAGAAAACATTCCTGACAGCAGAATTAGTGGAAGAAAGGCATTTGAAGAGAGTGGAGATGACAATATTCCCGAAGACAGTCTGTGCGAAATTGGAGAGATTAAGTTATAATTCATTCTTTCTTATCAATTGGGTTTATTAAGTGGGGCATGTGTTTATTTGAACAGTATTCCAGTAGAATTTAGAACAGTTAGGAAGCAGTTGGAAGTGGGGGAATTGTTGGATTTAGTAATTCTATTAATTTGTTCATTGTTAGGGTTAAATTGTTTGTTACTTGTGAAGTGGAGATTAGGGAATCTCTTTCTTTTTTTTAACCATTCTTTTAATAGATTACAAGGGGAAAGGTGAGCTTCTTTGGGTGTTTCGGGGGTAAATTTTAGAGGGCATCCCTATTCCCATTAACAGATTGAGGCTTTGTGTTTTGGTTTAACGATTAGAGTGGATTGGCCATTTCCCCTCCGTAACACTGTTTAGAATTGAAAGGGAGTGTAAAGTGATTTTTAAGCTGTTGACTAAGGGGTAGGAATGGAACAAAGGATGCTTACAGCAAAAAAACTGATGATAGAGGGATGATAAAGATGGGTGTTTAATAGTGGTGTAAATATTAGAATATCAGTTAGCATTGCTGATGGCAAACCCATGCAAACAAGTCACTGGGTGAGTACAGGGGAAAGGTGTAATCAAAATGCAGTTCTGCTCTGAAGTTGAACTTCACGTTGTTCCTGAATTTTCAGGATACAGTACCTCCTTATTTGCTTTGGGTTTTTGCCAGAGGGTTGCAGCAGACCAAGCACAAAATGTTAGTATGAGTGATAATTAGTTTTGTACTACTTTTGTGTGTTACTTTTTAAGCAATTACCTGAGTGTGCTTACAGGTGACCTAAACAACTTTTGTTTGACAAACCTCTGTTTGTTTGAAAGGTGGCATTTGTGTATATGTGCACTCGACTGATCATCAACCTCTCTCAGACCTACATTGCCATGTATGTAACCTACACTCTGAAACTTCCAAAGGTATGTGCTGGTGAACACGTGACTGCTACTGGAAATATTTCCTGAACAGATGTTGTCATTTTTTTTCTCCAGACATCTGATGTGTGAAGTAACACTTGTTTGGCTCCTCAAAGTGGCAGGAATGTAATGTTGATGACTGACCTGGATACCTCCTGGAGGACTAGCTGTTACCAGTGCTGCAACAAATGTCCATTTTCTGAAGAAGGATCCTGACCCGAAACGTCAACTTTCCTGCTCCTTTGATGCTGCCTGGCCTGCTGTGCTCCTCCAGCTCCATACTGACTCCAGCATCGGCAGTTTTTACTATCTCCTAAATGTCCGGTGTTGTTTTTTTTTCACCCCAAACTACTTGGCTAGTGATTTACTCTTGATTTGTGGGATTTCTCCTTTTGAGTGTTAATTCTAGTCTGTGAGCACTTCTTTATTTGGCTGGTTTACAAACAAGCACTGGTAGTTTGTGAAAACAACTGATATTTGGTGCCATCTATGGTTAGAGAAGGTGCTGTGCTTCTTTGAACCTTACTATTTCTCTCCAGTGGGAATTTCCATGCCTTTTTTCCCCACTTGATGTCTCCCTGTCAAGGCGCCATCGTGTGGTTGTACTTGCTGTAAGTGAGCTTTAGGCGAAAAACAAATGCATACGAAAGCTTGAGGCTTCAGAAACATGCCAAACATCTTGGGAGAGAAAAGAAATACTGAGTATTGGTTATTGTCAATTCATTAGGGTCTTCCTTCAGTGGTAGAGAGATAGATATGAGAAATCAGATATGGATTTTGACACCCACATTGTTTCCAGTAGAAAATCTTCATATTTTTGAAGTGGTAGTTGTGTTGAATGCACAGTTTTATTTTGAGCTTCTCTTTTGCAGAACTACATTGCCATGATCCCTCTCATGATGTATATCAGTGGGTTTCTGTCCTCCTTCCTCATGAAACCTGTGAATATATGGTTTGGCAGAAATGTAAGTACTGTTAGCTTCTGTGAACATCCTGCTTCAAAGGCTGGAGTTATTTGAAGTGCTCCCCTGTATGTTAATTTTTTTTCTTCAGAGGGAAACAGGTACTTGAAATAGACGTGTACAAATAAAATATCTTGTCTTCTAAATCTGTAGTTATTCAGATGCCATCCTATTTACAATAAGGATACCTGAATAACTTTTTAAAAAAAATTTTGGAAGTTACTTGGTTTGCAAACTTTGAAATGACTGAATGTAAACATAAATTTTATTGTGTATTTAACAATTTGAAGAGCATCAACAGAATTCTTGCAACACATCATTTGGCCAATTAAACCTATGTCCAGCACTAACCACACAATATCTCTGTGCATTTTGTTTCACCACATCCCAACCCTGACTTTATTTCTAAAGTAAATATAGTGGATTCTAGCTTCACTGTTTCTGGTTGGTTATTTGATGTCTTAATGAGCCTCAGTAGGAAGTTATAAAAGGCAAATTTCAGGAAAAAATGTATTCCCTTTTAATTGGTACCCAATCCTAGGGTTTGAAGAAGTATGCAAAACTTTAAAAGCTATGTTGAACTTGAAATCTATATTGCTTCTGGGCTACTATCTAAAAGACAACTAACTACCTCTGAATTGAGGAAAAGCAGTTGCTGAAACACTTCTTAGTGCAATGTGCCAACTGGCTGTCTGGTAATTGACCCCAATTTTGTTTAGATCACATCTATTTCCTTTGAAAAAGTATGTGGATTCCACCCATTAGTATCTGCTGGCTAGTGAATTCCGGTAGGGGGAATAAAATTATGATTTTAAAGTGGCAAAAGCCACACACTTAAGTAAATCGAAACTGACTTCAGTATCACCAAGCTTTGTTTAGAATACAATGTGAATTTTTTGGCTGAGGACTTTTTAACAATTTTTTTAGAATTTTTAATAGGTATCTCAATCAATTGGAAAAACAATGGAATTAGTCCAGATCAGAATCGGATGTTCTGAAAGTAAAACTCTGTATTGGCTGCTTACCAATAAAGTGTGTGTGTGTGTGTGTCATGCCTTTATTTTGTTTGTTTGTACATTGATCGGGTTCAGATTTCATGTCTGCTGCAGATAAGTCTTTGCTTGTTTTTGATAGGGTATCCTTTGCCTTGCAGTATTCAAGAACTGTACAGACAATCACTTAGGGGAAAGCAAAGAACAAGATGGATTAACTTTTCTGGATGTTTTGTAGAGTCAGTCATACAGCGTGGAAATGGACCCCCTTTGGTCCAACCAGTCCATGCTGACCATAATCCCAAACTACAGTATCCCCACCTGCTCATGCTTGATCCGTACCCCTCCAAACATTTCCTATTTGTGTACTTATCCAAATGTAATTGTACCTGCATCTGCCACTTCCTGTAGAAGTACATTCCAAACACAAACTACTGTTTATATATTTTTTTTTTAAATGCCCCTCATGTCCTTTTAACTTTTTTTTTCCTCACTTTAAAAATATGCTGCCAATCTTAAAATCACCCACCCTAGAGAAAAGACTCCTTGTCATTCACCTTATCTATACCCCTATAAACTTCAAGGTCACCCTCAACCTGCTGCACTCCAGTGATAAAAGTCCCAGCCTTTCCTATAACTCGAACCCTCCATTCCTGGCAACATCCTGGTAAATGCCTTCTGAACCCTACACAGTTTAATAATGGCATTGCTATAACAGGATGACCAGAACTGTGCACAGGCCTCTAGGAAAGACCTCGTCAACATCCCATACAACCTCAACATGACGTCCCAACTCCCATACTTGGTCGCCTGAGCAATGAAGGCAAGCATGCTGAGTGCTGCCTTAACCCCACCCTGTGATGCAAACTTCAATGAATTATGTAACTGAACCCTGAGGTCTCTGTTTGACAACACTACCCTGAATTGTAGAAGTCCTGCCCTTGTTTGTTTTACCAAAATGCGCTTCTCCAAATTAAACTCCATCTGCCACTCCTTAGCCCTTTGACCCAATTGATCAAGATCTCTTGGTAATCTTCAATAACCACCTTCACTGTCTTCTACCACCAATTTTGGTGTCATCTGCAAACTTGCTAACCGTGCCTGCTATATTCTCATGAAAATCACTTGCGTAAATGACAAAAGCGGACCCAGCACCGATCCCTGTGGAACGCCATTGGTAAAGGCCTCCAGTCTTTAAAAAAAAAAAAAACCTCCATCACTGTTGCCGTAAAGCCAATTTTGTATCGGATTGGCAAGCTCACCCTGAATCCCATGTTATCTAACTTGACTAATTAGTCTAACATGCAGAACCTTCTCGAACACTTTTTACTTGGGTTTAAAAAAAATGTCTACTGTTCTGTCCTCATCCATCTTCTTGGTTACTTCCTCTAGGAAAACGTGGCTTTGTAGCTTCAATGAAATTTGCCTGGTTTGTTTTAGCTGAAATGAATATGATTAAATCTTCGCCTCATTTCAGTTCTTTCTTGAATTTTTTTTTTAAGAGGGGATAGGAGATCAGCCGTGTGTTGCATTGGTTGTGCCAAACCGTACAACTTAGATGTGCTGCTGTGTTATATAAGGGACAGCTTTTGTTTTGGACCAGTCTTTTCCAGATGAGCTGTTAAATAGGAACAACATTAGAATTAGGAGCAGCAGTAGGCAATTCACCCCTTCGAGCCTCCTCTGCTGTTTAATGTGATCGTGGCTGGTCATATCCTGGTCTCGGCTCCATATTGCTGTCTGCTCCGTATAGCCCTTTATCGCACTTTTCGTCAGAAATTCATATGCTGTTGTCCTGTCACTTTCTCCAGCAGCTGGTAACAATTTTTTTCCTTGTTCCTCTTTTTATATAGATGACCTACTTTTTTGGGCTTGCATTTATCCTGGCATTTGCTTATTGGGTCTGGTTTTTTCAGCTAGAGAAGGGCATCTTTGGTGCAGCAGTCCTTCTCGGCACTGGTTCTACCACGATCCTAGTGACCTCCCTCGCCATGACTGCCGATCTCATTGGAGAAAACACAGTAAGAAATGAGTGAGATCAGTGTCAAATTTTGTGAACTGTACGGGCATTGTTTATGGCAAGATGTCAGATGTGGTTTTTCCAAAAAAAAGCCATTCTCTTTAGAAAATGGCTTGTCTGGATACTTTATCTCCCCTGAAAGCTGTGATTTATTCCACCCACATCTCTTTCCCCCCCCACCCCACCCCCCACCAAGTCTGTAGGCACCAGTAGCTTCCTCACTCTTCCTGTTTGTTTGTTCTGAAGACCCCACTAAAACTGGTCTAGGTGGACCGACAAGAAGGTTGTCTGAGTACAACGGGACCTTGATCTGATGGGCTATGGAGTTTAGTTTAGATAAATGAGGTGTTGCATTTTAGTAAGGCACATCAGGGCAGGACTTATACACTTAATGCTAAGGTCCTGGGGAGCGTTGCTGAACAGAGACCCTGCAGTACAGGTTCATATTTCCTTGAAATTGGAGTCGCAGGTAGATAAGATAGTGAAGGTGGTGTTTGGTACGCTTGCCTTTATTAGTCAGTGCATTGAGTATAGGAGTTGGGAGGTCATGTTGCAGCTGTACAGGTAATTGGTTAGGCCACTATTGGAATACTATGTGCATTTCTGGTTTGCCTCCTATGGAAGGATGTTGTCAAACTTGAAAGGGTTCAGAAAAGACTAAGGATGTTGCCAGGGTTGGAGGGTTTGAGCTATATGGAGAGGCTGAATAGGCTGGGGCTATTTTCCCCTGAAGTGTCAGTGGCCTGAGAGGACTTGTAGCTTCTATGAAATCATGAGGAGTGTGGATAGGGTAAATAGTCAAGGTTCTTCCCACCACCCCCCTCCCCCCACCCCACCCCCACCCCCAGTAGGGGAATCTAAAACTAGAGGGCATGGGTTTAAGGGGAGAATGGAAAGATGAAAGGAACCCGAGGGGGAACTTTCTTGTGCAGAGAGAGGGTGGTGCATGTATGGAATAAGCTGCCAGAGGTAGCGGAGGCTAGTACAGTTACACCATTTAAAAAGTTTCTGGATGTGTATGTGAGTAAGAAGGGTTTAGAGGGATATGGGCCAAAAGCTGGCAGATGGGACTAGATTTATTAAGATATATGGTCAGCATGGATGAGTTGGACCGACGGGTCTGTTTCCATGCTGTACATCTCTATGACTAAGACTTGGAAAATGAAATTATAAACAAATTATTATTGGATAAATTCAGGTCTTGCAGCATCTGTGGAGAGAGAAACAGTTGATACTTCAAATCTGACTTTTTATTTCCGAACCACTCTGAAGGCCGGCAAGTGAGACTAGGCGACTAGACTAGAGAAGGAGCAAACCTAGACCACCTTTTGGGCTTTCTGTAGATTCTGGTACTTTATTCCCCTCTCATCCACTTGATAACATGATGGCCTCTTTCCAAATGTGAAAGTAAGGAACAAGTTCCTGTTATTTGTATTGTTTGGTTCATGATCACATTCAGATTAGAATGAAAGAGCGTGAGAAGTCTCGGAACTAGAAAATGCCAATACGTCCATCATTCTTGTATGTTATAGCTACAACTCGGTCAGTCATACAGCACGGAACTGACCTCCTCTGATTCTTAGTCAGACAAGCATCTAAGAACCATCTACTCTTCCAAGCCTTAGTCCCAGATCTATTCATATCTTCTTTCCACCGTCCCCTTTCATGAATAATATATTTTTTAAATGTCAACAAATGATGAATTAACCACTTTTCCGATTAATCTGTTGCCATGGAAAGAGGTTTCCTTTCAGCACTGCAAGAATTTTATGAAATGTTGTGATAGCTGTCCAGTATAAATAGCATTTGTGTGTACTTTATTGAGCCCAATTCCTTGGTCCTCGTTTAACCGTCTTGGTAACCGAGCAGATCAGAAATCCTGGTTTATAATCTTGCTAATATTATTCCCATTGAGCTCAATGGAGAGTGAAATTGGCTGTAGTGTAAAACAAGCTGTTAAAGTCATCCTACTTGTGAGCAAGTTGAGGTAACTGGTGGTTGTAGGCAAAGTATTTGGTAGCTGCCTTGTTTCCTGTTTATCACTTGATCGGTAATATCATGGGATTAGTAATCCAGTATCCCATGCTAATGTTTTTGGGGACATGGATTTGAATCCTGTTGTGGAAGATGGTTAAATTCAAACTCTGAGCTTGCCTGATGACAACCCATGTCACCACTGTGTCAAATCTAGACATTCCTACTGGTCTTTTTCACTCTCCAAGTTTATTACTACACTGCATGATATTGTTTGGTGAGGCTTGTAATTTATTCAGCTCATTTTAGAGATTTACAAACTTACAATTTGGCTTTTTTCCCCTTCCAGCAAAGTGGGGCCTTTGTCTATGGTTCCATGAGTTTCACAGATAAAGTAGCCAATGGTCTTGGAGTGATCATTATTCAGGGTCTTCACCCCTGCAAGTAAGTCCATTTGAACTTCAGGTTTTTCAAGTCTCATAACTAGTGCAATTGCCTAAATGTTCCACTGTAATTTCTTTGGTATGAAATACTTGGACTAGACATAATTGGGATAACAATGGAATGCTTAATCACAAGTATACAAACTGCATAGAAGTGTGTGCCTGAGATATAAAATGGTGGCAAAGCATTGTGCTGCACAATTTTTTTTTTATTGGTCTAAATACTGCACCTTTTTTCTCTTTTTTTAAAAAAAAAAGCATTTATCCTGGATCTGTTTTTAAAGCAATGTAAATGCACTGAGGGCAGAGAATGTTAAGTGGTAGGCAACCAGCAACTGAAGTATAGGAAAATCCAGCACGAATTCCTGGCAGAGCATTACCAATAGGCCCAAACTGGGGAACGCTCAAACATATACAGCACAGAACAGGCTTTTTTGTCCAATTCGTCCGTGCTGGCCAGATATCCTAAAGTAACGTGGTCCCATTTGCCAGCATTTGACCCATATCCTCCTAACCTTTTTCTAATCCTATACATCCAGATACCTTTTTAAATGTCATTGTACCAGCCCCCTCCACTGCTGGCAGCTCACTGCACATGCACACACAGTCCCCTACCTTTTTTGTCATTCCCTTCGCACCTTAAACCTACATTCTCTCTGGTTTGGAATCCCAGCTATTCGGCCTCTCCCTATAACTCAAACCCTCCAACCATGGCAACACCCTTGTAAACGTTTTTCTGAACCCCTTCAAGTTTCACAACATCTTTCTTATAGCAGGAAGACCATAATTGTGTACAGTCTCCCCAAAGTGGCCTAACCAATGTCATGTACAATCTCAACATGTAGGGGGATAATTATTTAGAAAATAGTTCTATGGTATTTAAAATTGAAAAATGTGCTTTTCTGGAAAGACTGCCAATGTACTACCAGTGTGAAAGGCTGGGATTTATAACACTAATTCCAGTCTAACTTGCTGTCTTTTCTATCTTCTTTCATGACATCTCCATCACCTGTCACCTTACTGAAGCAGCTAAAGACTGGTACTCTTAGACAAAAACAGAAATTGCTTGCAAAACTTAGCAGATCTGGCAGCATCTGTGGGAAGAAAACAGTTAATGTATCGAGTCTGGACTTGAAACGTCAACATTTTTTTCTTCTTCCCACTGATGCTGCGAGACCTGTTGAGGTTTGCCAGCAATTTGTTTCAGATTGCCAGCGTCTGCAGTTCTTTGTTTTATGTAACTGTTACTCTTGACTTCAGTAGAAACAGGACTAACCAAAAGAGACTGCATTCACTGTTTCATGATTTGCTGCAGTGCTCTGACTGGTGACCCTGATCTCTTGTTTTTTAAAACAAAAAAACAAAACTCTTGTTTGTTTTTTTTCCCTCTTTCTGTCTAGGACTGAAAGCTGTTGTGCACAATGTAGTCCATTCTACCACTCGGTGATGGCATTAGTGACTGGTGGCATTGCCTGTGCAGCATTGGTTTCTTTAGCAGCTACCCGAATTTGGCCAATCAAGATTAGGAGATGTAAGTAATAAGTAGATGCTCTTTCTCTGCTTGTGGTGTTTTTAGCAGCTTGTTTTGTTGCATTCCTTCAGTCTCTCCATTTGAGCTGCTCACTATATTTATCACAAGCAAGAGAAGCCCCCACCCTGCATTTGTATGTCTAAACCTTCACTGGGAAAATTGTACAGGTCAGTATAGCAGGTCACTGAAAATGCATAGTCTAAAATGGGACGAGGCAACAGGCTGGACTTGAAACAGGAATGGAATGGACCATTACCTAGTAAGTAGGAGTATATACTTGGCAATGCTAGCAGCAAAGTCTGGGATAGTGGTGTGGATGCAGCTCCTAATGAGTAATGGCCTCTGACTGAACATGGTACAGTTTAGATCAGTAGATCACTTCATGTCTTTAGACAACTTTACCATGTTGCAACAACTTGTTAATAGTTTGCAGATTGATGTTATCTCTCATCTTCAAAAAGTTGTTCTTACAGTTTAAGCAAAAACTAATCGCTTCTTCAAAGTACTCTTTCAAGGACTGTAGTGTTTAGAAAGTGAGATCAAAAGCATATGAGAAATTTGAGTAGACGACTCAGTCTTGAACCTCCTCTGCAGTCCAGTAAGATCGTGGCTGATCCGATTTATGGTCTCACTCCATATTCCTGTCTGCACCCCAACCAAATTCTTGGGGAGAGCAACCAAACTCTGCCTAACTCAACCTTGAATATTATCAATGAGCCAGCCTCGGGAAAAGAATTCCAGATGCTAACTGCTGTTGGAGAAATTTCTTCTTCTCATTTGCCTTCAATAGGAGAGCTCTTAGTTTGAAACTCTGCCCCTAGCTTGCTTTACTCCTTGAGAGGAAACATTGTCTCAGCATCTACCCAGGCAAGCCCCCTCAATCTTTTTCTCAATCTTTCTTGTTTTTCTAAACTGCAATGAATTTGGCTCAACCTTTTTTCTCCGAAGATGAGCCACTCACCTCGAGGGGCCCTTTGGTCATGTTGGAGGATCCTGCAAGCAGAAAATTGAGTTAATCTTCATTTTCAATTTAACCCTTTTTTCTAAAAAAAAAACGTTTTGGAGCAAGTTATGAGTTGCTATTTGTAAGTTCTCTCCAAATGTCTGTTGGATATCAAAGCCTCCCAGGAGGGCCCTAGATAGTGTATTGTGATTGGAATGCAGCAAAAGCAGGATCTCCAAACTAGAGGGAGGACCCCCTGAGTGCAAAAGCTTCTCTACTGGATAGGTTTAACTTTTGGCTTGTGTATTTTAATAATTCAGACACTTTATCCATTAGAAAAATTTCCAAAGGCCAGTAAGCAGCTAAGGTGGCCATTATGCATTAGAATTTAAAATGCCTTGCCTTTGGGATATTTTGCTTGTTTGTCAGCTGCACTCCTTATTCATCTGGCTCATCCAAAGTTGTTGTTGTTTTTGTCCCATATGTTTCGTGCCCTTTTTTGCTTAGAAGCAATATTTTTAATAACTAGGAATAGTGATTTCTATTTGGATTTCTTTTTTATTGAAAGCTGCTGTGGATCCAGCTAATCTCACTAGGATCAATGTTGCTGTATTTTGTTGCTATTTTCATAATGCTGTGCTGTGATTGACAGGAAGGTGTGACAGTTGCTTTCTCATGTGATTAGTACTACATAAAATTAAACCAAAATAAAGTTCAGAATTTCAGCTTCCATGCAGTCATTATGGTACAGAAGGGAGCTATTCAGGTCATCAATTCCATGTTGGATTTTTTTTTTGTATACAGCAATTCAGTCCTATCCCTCACCTTTATTTTGTGCAAGTTTCTTTTCTTTTCAACCTACTTTTCCAATGAACCTTTTTCAGAGATGTTACTACACCTCTGAAGCACGTGGGATTTGAACCTCTGCCTCTTTGTCCAGGCGTAGAGACACTGACACTGCTATGAGTGCCCCTAGCCCTTCTTTAACTGTGTCCATCCAATTTTGTTTTAAAATCATTTGTTTTGCCCCTCAAAGTGTAGCCTAACTATAAATTCCCTCATCCTTGTTCCCTTCTAGGAACTTCCCTGTGTGTCTGATATTGTATTCCCTTTTTCCAAAGTGTGGTGACTGAAACTAAATGCAATATGATGTATGTGACTTGACTGTTTTATAAAAACTCTAGATACGTCTAGCGTCTAGAAGTGCTAAACCAAGATGACCTTTTAATCCTGCAATGTTGCTAAGTTTCTTGACCGCTGAAATTTGGTTTTAAGTGTAGCCTAATGAATGTTACTAACCTGGTGAATTGTATCTCCGCCCTCCGCCCTCCACCCTTTTACGCATGCAATTGCTTTTAAACCAAAAATTAAGCTACTTTAGCACCAGGCAGCAGGAATGCATTGAAATGCTATTTTAGTTTTTTTTTTGAAATTGAAAATAACTACATGTTTGGCAGTGATTTCCTTTTATTTTAAAAAATTTTGTATATAACAATCTGCAAGCTGTTGGGTGAAGGTAATGTGTTGGCCTTGCTTGTCTGTTCTGTGATAGTGCTTAGAGAAGATCATTGGTTAAGTAATGGGAAATATTTTGCTGAGTCATGTCAACACATCTTAAAAAGACAGTCCTCCAAAGTGGCCACTGATTGTGGAGTCGATTGTTTAAGATTTACCTGGCTGAGCATGCTCTGTACTGTTTGATTTCATTGTGTACTTGGCAAGCCAAATTTAACCTGTACCAGTACTTGGTCAAATCTGGCTACCCAAAAATGGATGTTTATATATAATCTTCCTCAATTAAGCTTTTTTAAACAAAAAAGCAATACCTGAGCAATTAGGTTAGGTGCTGCATTGGCATGATATGACCATAGACTAGTTACCCCCTTCACACCCAGACTTAGCAACTCTGTGGACACACACTTGAGCTGCCAACTACCTAATCCAAGATTTGGAAATATCTGAAACAGTAACAGCTGCTGCTCTGAGGGTGCTGAATTTTGAGGTACTGTACCTGTAATTGGTGTGGACTATTTACAATTTCTGGTCACCAAAATGGTTTCCATTGTCTGTATTTCAGGGCGAGATGAAGATGGTAGTAATGTTGAAACCAGAATCAGATTGACTGACTGCGCGTACATTTGTTAAATAGAAAACTGAAATTTACTACATGAAACAACTCGCCAAATTCACTAAACGGGGGGAAAACAAACTACAAACAGGAGAAGCTGAGCGATTTTAAATTTAACAGCAATATTTGCTCTAAAGTTGCAAGTCAGCTTTTTAAAACTAAATTTTAATTTAGTTTATTTTAAGTTGATAAACATTAATGTTTGTATTTAATACAGTCTTAAAATAATTTGTATTTAAGTTATCAGAATTTTCTGATTATTTGAGCTGGTGTCACTATTGTAGCACCAATCTCTGCACAGCAATAAGATAAATGACCAAACTCTGTCTAATATTGGTCACAGGGCAAGTATTGGACTGACGGCTTCCCCAGCTCTTCAAATAACACATCCTGTATAGGGTTTTTAATGCATAGCTGAAAAGATGTTGATTTTTAATGTACTTCCAGAAGATTTCCCCTCCCATTGTGTGCTGAGGCTGATGCCATGGCTTTGAGTTTGCTACTGAGCCTGGACCAACCCTACTTCTGCATGTAGAGTATGCAACTTAGCTGTCAACTGCACGTATTCTTCATTAGAGTCTCGGCTCATTCTTTCAATGAGAATTAATGAAGATTAATTGTTTTCTAGTGATGACCCATGCAATGCAAAATTCTATTGACTTATTCCTATGGAGAGATTTGCTGATTTTTGGCAAGCTGTCCAAATTGTCGCCTGATTTATAAAGGAGTGACCGTGTGCACAGTTGGACCTCAATGGATGATTGTGCAACTCTCCATCTTCTCTGTGAAAGTGCTATCGACGGGCTAGAGGACTTCCAATGTTACACCCCTGTTCAAAAGTCAGGAAGGGTAAATACAGGAGCCACCCTAATGGTGGAGAAACTTTGAAACAGTAATCTGAGGCACAAGTTTAATTCTGTGGGAGAATGAGCTGTTAAATGACCACCATCAGGAATTTATGAAAGCCAAATTGTTTAACTTGATCTTTCCAGAACTAATGGTTGATGTTCGGTATATGGTTTTCAATAGATTTTAATAAAGAGCCACTTAATGAACTTCAAAATTGTGAAGTCCTTTTGAATTTAAAAGACCATTGGTAGCAGAGCTACAAACTTTAAGAGGAAGAAAACAGTTGTGGAGGTTTTTTAAAGGCTGGAAACAAATATTCACTAGTGCTACCGAGGAATCAATATTAACACCACAACTCTTTTGAGAGTTAGTGGTATCAATTTAAGTATTTTAAACACCATTTCAAAGTTTGCAATGAGAAGGATAGTAGCAGACTTAAGGAGGAAATTCAGTTGGTAAAATGGTCAGGATACATGTAGTTTAACATGTGAAAGGATACAGTTTTGAGACCTTCGACTGTAGTACCATTTTGAAGGGGATTTAGCAACACTGATGTATGTTCACAAACCTTTTTTGAAGAAAATTCTGGGCCCTTTTTAAACTGATATAGTGTTCATATCTTTGTACACCACATCATTGTTTACATAGTAAACTTTGTTATTTATTAAGAATTAGTGAATAGGTCCCAGCTAAATTTTTTTGTCCAGTTGCAGAGATTGAACTTCAGGAAGGATGTTGAGGCCTTCAAAAGGATGCAGAGAATTTCACATGGTGTTGCACTGTACAAGACACCGGTGAGAACACCTCTGAAGAACTGTGTACAGTTCTGGCTCCTTACTAGAGTATAAACTGATTTGGAGATAGTTGAGAGGAGTTTCACTAGATTCTTTCCAGAGAAGAAAGGCTTATCTTAGAGCAGTTTAGGCCTATCATCACTAGAGTTTAGAAGGATGAGAAGAAATCTAATGGAGGTGTCCAAGATGTTAAAGGGGTTGACGGAGCAAGTGTTTCCCCTTGTTGGGAAATCTAGAAATGAGAGGCCTTAGTTTTAGGCTAATAGATAGCCGGATTGAAACTGGG